TGGGTTGGAAGGTTCATATGTTCCACATACATATATTGAACAGATACAGCTGGAGAGGCTTGTGAATGATGTTATGGTATGAGTTGTGTTTTATTGCACACAGATCCGGTTGATTATGTCATGATGGTAATTCGTAATGTTCGAGACTCCCGGTCATGTTTCAGGCTTTGCCAGATGACTTGAAGACAAAACTTAGCTTAGATGATGATACAGTTTCGAGCCCTAAAGAAGCCCTCTTAAGAGCTTCTGCTGATAGTAGAATTAAATATCTTCACGGGTATCATCTAGTCCTTCCCCTTGATTGGCTAAGTTTTTTGGATAAACAGAATCTAAGAATAAAGACTACATATGTTACCTTATGAAATCATCTGACTTGTGTAATGATGCACGTCTGAACAGCGGTGCATCAAAGTCTTACACAGACCAAAGACACAAAGTCTTGCCTAACTTGACAAGACTTGCTATTAACAATAGAATATTAGATGCCAGAGCCCCTGCCACTCTTCAAAATCAGGTAAATTGGTCTCTCTGTTTTTGCCCGTAAGATCTTTCAGTCTATGGTTCTGTTGTTGCAAGGTGATAACTTTGGCTTACAATTAAATCACTGAAGATATGGTGTCTATAGGGTGTTATGACTCAGCTTTCAGACCAAATATCAACACTGAACGAGAGGATGGATGAATTTACATCCCGCATTGAAGAGTTGAATTCCAAGATCCCGAACAGGATAGCTGCGTCAGGTAGTCAGCATAACTTGGCTTTACCGATGGAAAACGGTAACGGGTCTCTCTTATCGCTGTCTGCATCCTCATCTCAGCTCGCGAGGGAATCTCCTCTGATGGAAGAGGTATGTGTACAACTCTCCAAAACCAGAATCACATAAGCTCATTTTTATTAGTGATTGCTTCACTCCAATAGACAATAACATCAGATGCAGCAATTCATAATCACTTCTGTCTGTTTAGTTCTTGTCGAGCATGAGGTCCACCAGAGAGAGATCTAGACTCAGTAGAGATAGTGGATATGAGATTACTTATCTGAAACATATATCATTTTCGAGGTGGTTTTCTTAATACTTTTATCATCTGGATAGGTTTTACTCGTTGCTCGTGGACAACGTCAGATAATGCATCAAATGGACACACTGAGCAATCTTCTTCGGGAGTATGTTGGAGAGAGGTCTCGCATAGAGAGACTA